AAGATGATTCTCAATGGGGAGGATTTGGGAGGAATGTCAATTGACAAAATTTTAGGGATTTTTAGATTAATCAATAGATTACTGTAAGGACGTGTTTGTTGAAGTAAATTAAGTTACCTAAATTATTATCCTTTTTTATTTAGTTATCATGTTTTATTTTTACTATGATTTGTATTTATTGAAAAAAAAAATGTTACAAAGTATTGTTTAAATATTTATTGAAAGAAAGGTAGGTGGCGTAATTTCCACAAAAAAAAAGGGAGGTCAAAAAGACATTGTGGAAACTTTGTCACACAAAAGTGATAAATTTATTTTTCAGTAAAATGTTACTTATATCATAAGTAAAAAGGGCAAACAAGTTTAAAATTGGAGTCTTAAAAAGGTAACCAAAATGGCCATGTGTCAATGAGGAGAATCGTGATAGTTATATGGATAATTCTATTTGTACCGAATGGAGGTTATCGAAAATGTGTCACCCACCCTCTCACATGCGCGTGGCGCTCGCGTGAATAAAAAACTCACAAATGTGTGGTCCCTACATCCTATAATGAGTGTAGGTAAAAGTTTATGTAAAAAATTGGATGTACGTGTAGCATAATCCTAGTAAATTTGTTGCCATTGATCATAAGATGGGTTCAAAAAAGCCGGGTTTCGAGGAATGGGTTGATTTCCAATTTAAGTTTTGCTGCAGAGTGGTGGATGTGTGCAGTATGCCACCATTATCCAATTCTCACTATCTGATTCAAAAAGTGGTGTTTTTGGACTCCACTGGAAACCTAATCCTACAAAAATCCTAAGTACACTTTTAAGTTTTAATAATTTGGATTCCATGGTTAAGTCATTTGTGCCGTGTTTTGTTCTTTCCAAAGAGTAAACTATCTAGTATAATAGACGATATTTTACTTGCGGTCTACCTTATCGAATGATTCATATGTGTATATATATATACATCTTATATTCCCTGCACTTAAAAAGAGTACCCCCTAACCTTCACGGGAAATCACCTTTCATAAGCATCTTCGGTCACTCGGAAACTATTTTGATGAAATGGCCACAAATTCTTCACCATTTTTTTATGCAGATGATGAAGAAGAAGAATACATAGACATGGATTTGAGCTTTTCATACAGCTCCTCAAGTTTTTCCCCACAAAGCAAAGATTTTGAGTTCCAAATGTCCTCCATTTGCAATAACAATGGTAACACCACTTCCTCGGCTGACGAACTCTTCTACAAAGGCCAACTCCTCCCTCTCCACTGCCCCCCACGGCAGCAAGTGGTTCAAAACCTCCTCCAAACCTCCACCACCACCGCCGCCTTTGAGACCTCTGAACAGGGCTTTAAAGAAGAACATCAGCACAATACACTATTCATCACTTGCTCTACCAACACAAGCTCCCCAGCAGTGGAGTCCTGTAGAGTGAGTTGTGAATTGAACCCGGACAAGAATTTCTTCGAATGGTCTGCTGAATTAAGCAGTTTCATCAATAAGCAGCATTTAAAGAATTCTTGGTCCAAGAAGATGAAACTCATTAAGCAATCCATACTTGTTCAGAAGCTTAAGGCTTCAAGGGCTTATCTGAAATCTCTATTCAGCAAGTCTGCATGCAATTTAGAAGCCAAAAACTTGCCAAAAATTGATAAATCTTCAAATAACGAGTATTCTGAGTTCACCAGGCAAAAACCATATGGGAGTATTGGAAAATCTTCATGCCCAACAATGTCAATATCTTCTATAATGAAGAGCATTGATAAAGAGGGAGTTGGGAATAATAATAACAATAATATCCGCAGGAGGTCATTCTCCGGGGCAATCAGTCGACACTCTGCAACTACGCGTTCGTCTTTTTCTTCATCTATTACTTCATCTGGAGCTTCGTCTTCGTCTTCTTCTTCCTCGTTTAATTCCAGTGGTTTTCAAGAATTACATTTTCTCAAGAGGAGCAGCAGTGCCACTGAGATTGAACGTTCAATAGAGGCAGCCATTGCTCACTGCAAGAAATCTCAACAGATTTCTGAGTCAAGAAATAATACATCAAGGGATCCCGCATTTTGTTCAATCTAATCGAGGTTGTAACAATATTTACATTTTCTAATTAAATTATGAAAAAATAGAAAAGGGTAATTGATATTATTTATGTATAGACATGTGCAACTTGTTTTGAAGCACTTTCTTCTTCATCAATTAATTACTACAACAAATTTCAGACCTGTCTCTTGTATTATTCTCATTCTCAGAATGTTATTTGAATTCCAGGGTGAGCAATTCGAGGAAAATAACAAAGGGACATATTTCAAGGATCAGAAGATATTTAGAAAATGAGACTCAAATTTGGAACTTTTTCACAAAAGTTGTCTTAACTTTTGTGCACTGAAATAATTACAATTTCACCTCTGCAATTGGCCTCTGCTTTTATCAGAATTGATCTGTTTTCCACATTTATAATTTTTGCTTTTCTTTGAACAAACCAATGAATAAAGTTTGCTACTTACAGTTGTTCAAAAAGGTAAAAATGCGTATATTAGAGAAAAAAATGTATAGTCATAAAAATATTTAGGAATAAGTGAACAATAGTTTCATATCAAAAAATCATTATTCATCTTTTTCTACAATTATTTCCATACGGGCATGTTCAAGTCGAACTTTCCGATTTCAAAAAAAAATGTAGAACTTTTACCAAAAAATAAATAAAAGAATCGTGATATAGTTTTAAAATATATGATTAAGAATCCTACATTTCAACGATCAAGTGATTTCTTTCAAACAAAACAAAACATAGTAAACCAACACATTGGCGACGATGGCGAGAAAAAGAATTGAATTCCCAGCTTTTACTCATTCTTTGAATGGTGAAAGAAGAATCTTTCACAAAAAGAATTTGATTAACCAAAAGAATCTTTTATCTTATAATAAAGTGACGGACTTTTCATTTTAGTAGAAACAGCGTCAGGATTTTTAGTTCTCTACAGATTTGGACTCCTCGACTCTATCCAAGAATTGATCTACATATGAGAAGAGGGCTCGAAGCAAGTTTTGAATGCGAAAACGTAAATAAGGAGATACTATCTCAATAACACAAACTTAACGAAAATAAAGATAAAAAAGGAAGGATTACTTCATGTTCAACCTCACTTTCTATACAAAAGATCGTAGCACTATAAGCAAATGGCTGGCTAAACTATTTACCCAAAAAAGAGAAAAAAAATAATGGCTAAAATAACAAGAAAATAAAGTTGAATAGAGAAGTTTGATATACAGACAAACATATGAGCTTGAGGGTTCATATACTCCTAAACGATTATGACATTGACGAAACATAATTTGGAGTGAGCCTGTCGTCTAGATCCTAGGCATAGTGAATATAGTAGTGCTTTATTTAGTTTTTTGACGTTGTAAATGTTTAAATTTGTGGGTCGATCGAGTTGGAATGAGCATGACACTTATTGTTTGATATTTAATTTATGATAATGTCTAGATCGAGTTAGTATTGTACTCTAGCGATTAAATGTACTAAGAGCCCCGTTTGATTGGTTTAAATTCTATGAAAAATGTCACATCCGAGAAATTCAATTTCTACTTTGGCTATTTGATATGAAAGTGAAAATTGAGTTCGAATTCCAAGGTACAACCACTTTAAACTTATTTTTTGCCAATTTCATGAAAAATGCATTCTTATGGGGTACTTGGATTTTTATATTCCAACTTACATGGAATTGGAAAGCATTTCCACCTTTGGCAATCAAACGGATCCTAAAAGTAATTGTAGATAATTAGATAATTTTAAATGTATTAAAAGTAATTGTAGACAATTTGATAATTTGCTTAGCTTCAATGTGAATTTTAGTTGTTTGTTTGCTTTGAAATTAAGTTTTTTATTTTTTAATTTGCATGGGAAAACATAAATTATTCGAATATGCCCTTGTTTGGTAGATATTAAAACCAAATTTTTAGCAAGATTTTAATTAAAGTTGATGGAATGTGTAGTTGAAAAGTTGTAAATCTTATGAAATGTATGATTAAAATTAATTGTTGACTTTGATTTAGATTTTAATAATAATTTTAGCGGTACCAAATAGGAGCTATGTATTCTATCTCAAAAAAAATTTTGACAGAAAAATTATTGTACATGCAGTTGTCCATTTCAACATGCTAATTATCGTTGAGATAAATCGACATGACTGGCCTATAGTGTAAACAAATTGCGCTAATAGTCCAACATAAAGTTTGGACCAAAAATAATTTTTATTCTTGTACTTCATAAATTTCGACTAAATTTCTTTTTTACTTAATAAATTTTTTTAAAAAAAATAAAATTAACCTACCCCCAAAATCTAGTCCAATTTTAGTGTTAGTTGTAACAACTCGAGCTTGTGTCCAAATCGTTAACGTACTGTCTATTTTGAAAGAGTGTGTGCTCAGCTTACAGCTCATGAATTTTTATCACATTTGAATCCTAATCAATCAACAAGTTTTTAAGATTTCTTAACCAAATATGTCTACCTAAAATTAAGTTTAATCATACAGGCATGAAGTCTTGTTTCTTTCAAAGGTGTAAAATAACCAAAAAAAAAATTATAATTAGTTTATAATAATAAATCCACATTCATGGAATGTCAACAAATTGGGCAAAATTTCTTTTTTACTTCATAAAATTGGTTAGAAAAACTTAACCAACCCCAAAAGTCTAATCCAATTTTAATGTTAGATCACAGTAAACTGCACTTCTAATTCTGTATCAATTAATGAGTTTTGAAGATATCTTGATAGAATATGTCAATCTAAACTTTATTTTAATCATACGTACATAAAGTCGAAGTTTAAATTAACCAAACAAGATTATAAGTAGCTCTCATAATACTTCCACATTCATAGAATGTCAAAAATAAAATTCTCTAAGGTCACATCTATATATGGGCTACTCTTGTTTGTTTCCATTCAATATTCTCAAGTCTCTTTGTCTAATGAATTAGACCCATATGCTGGAAAAATCCCAATTCAGAGTTCAAAGGAGCTGTAGAAAACTTTAGTGCATGCACTTCTGAAGTACAAAGGGATATGAAGACACTTGCTCAATACAAAAACCACTCTATTAGTGCATCATGTGGATGGATATTGCCAAATTTATACTCAAATAATTGAAATTTTTATATTCAATATGTTATACACATATGTATGTCCAACATATTCTTCTTGGGATCAGTTGTAGAGATGCCACGGACCACATTTTATGTGACTTATCTTGGCCCATTGGCATGTTTGTGATGGACCAAGGCGGACGAAGACGGACTTAAGGGACAAATATTTAATTATGTTAAATTTTTGGCCCGTAAGGGTTAGGGAAAATTACACGTAACACTATATGGACCTAGGCGGACGAAGACGGACTTAAGGGACAAATATTTAATTAAGTTAAATTTTTGGCCCGTAAGGGTTAGTGAAAATTACACGTAACACTACTAAAAAAATATTATTTCCTATTATACATGTCATCTTTTTTTTATTCTAGATATACTACATTTTGAACAGTATAAAATAAAACTAAAAAGGAACCCAATACAATAGGAGGATTAATTTGGAAAGCGGCAATTACGGTCAATTTACCCAAAATCTCGCCCTTACCCCCAAAAAACCAATATCATATTGCTCTCTTCCCTTCTGCAAATTCAAAATGCTATGTCCTTCCTGCAGATTCAAAATCATGAAATCAATTAATCAAGAAAAGGGAAAAAAAATCAGACCACATATCGAACTCATTACCTCACATACGACGCAATCTGTAGCACCTATTTCAAAAGAAGATATTTTACCATACCACGCTTTCCACTTTCTCTCAATTTTCACTCTTTTTCTCTGCCTCTCAGGACTCTCTTATCACTCTATTTTCCACGCCTCTCTTCACACACGCACACATATACAACAGACAGACATACAGCTATTTATATAGTTGTTAGAAGTCGGTGGCTGAAGCTTCCAAATTTATCCATGAATGGCGGTGGAATGGAAAGCATTCTAGCTTCTACTACGTCGGTGCTTCAAATTTTGGCAGTAACAATCTCTAGAATATTCTCCAATATGTTGGCAAATATATAAAGATGAAATTGTCCAGATTTTGCAGCATGTATATGAACCCAGAAAATTCTAGAAATTTTCTTTTAAGGCGGTGCTGCATCTTCATTATGTTGGGGCAAAGAACAAGTAGTAGTTTTGATAATGTTTCAGGAAAGAAATTGCAAATCATTCCAATGCCTTTCTTCATTTTAAAGATTTGGTATAACATCAATCCTGCATTTTCACATCCCTGATAATATTATTGAATGCAATGTGTATGTTCACTTTTGAAATCTGATATATATCATAATATACTCGTCGGACTATCCACATGTAACATTGACCATGGCTGTAATGTTTTTCTAGACGACATTTACTTGAGGTTAAAGCTAGTTGACATTTATAGGTGTTTACGAATCCCGTGTACATTACATCCTGTAATCTTTTCGATATTTCTAAACATCAATATGAAATGTAATATGAAATGTAAGAGAAATCAAAGGGTTTCTGAATTTCAAGTTTCCAACTTTTGAAGAATTTGGTAGAAGCAAGAAAGAAACCGGTCATTTACTTAATTCTAAAGTGGTTCCTTTTACGAGTATTAGTAAATTTGAGTTTGCAGATGAACAAATTGGATCTCCCATTTCAGTACATGATGTATGTGGTCAGACAGATTTTTTTTTTATTATTATGGAGAAATCGCTCAGTTTACATGAATGGAGGTTGATTTCAGCTTGTGCTTTATATGAAATGTAGATTGTGTTTATCCAATTTTATTCAGAATTTTGGGAGGAATATTTCAACAGTGATGAGATTCCAAATTACTAATCCTAGCTACGTATTCGTAATTGTTTTGTTTGATCTCTAAATGTGTTGAACAGACATACTTAAGATCAAGAATATGAAAAAAATTAAACACTTATTACGGATTCATGTGCATGACAACTTCATCAGCAATTTAACTTTAATTTATACATTTTCCTCCTAAATTTAAACGAATTCAAAAGGAAGTGCGG